TGTATGCCGGGGTCGGTCATAGTGAACATGGAGTCGCTGTGACTGTGGATGCGAGTGCCATCGTACCAGCCGGATCGCGGATACGTGCTTTTGGCACTTGAAATGCGACGGATCGTGTCTAGGTCATCCGTGCTGACTTCATTAGGTCCGACGCGAACTAGAGGTCCGTACTCCTCTCCTAGAACTTTTTGCATGTCATATTGTCTCCCAGTCCAGCCTCCAAAACCGAGCCATAGGTATGAGAACGACGCAAGGAAAGGGCCGGGGATGTGGCGAAGGCGGTTCCATTGGTAGGCAGTCGAGGCTAAGAAATAACCTATGGCGAGAAAGCAGAAAACTTTGATGGTCTGGTCGAGGTCTAGGATACCCATGATATCAGTTGACAATTAGTCGAGAATTGCTGTTTGAAACATCGGATGAATCAAAACTGAGACAGCATGTAAGCCGAGAGCGGGGTAAGAGGTAGACAGCTAAAGAAATACTATTTCCTCGTCTCCTGTGTGAACACACCGCTCCGATAATATCGATACGCGCTGGCGTAGAGTCCCTGCGAGCTGATATTGGCGGCTGCCGATCTCTATACCCAGGCGTGCAGCACAAAGACCCAGGAATTTCCGGATCAAGTATACATATGCGTTACCAAAACCCTGCATCGCGTAGGCCTGGCCCAAATCTGGCTGGAGTTCAAGGTTTGAGTCTGATTCTCCTAAATCTGCCACCTTTTATAGCTGGACGGAGTCACTCCTAGGTACTTCATATCCAACCCATGTCTGGTATTGGCGAAAGCAAAAGAACATTTACAAGAGGTACTAAAACCAAGTAGTGAAATGTTTTAATCGTAACATAAACTTATAGCCATATTGTTAAAAAAGATCTAATGGCCGTATTCTATACGCCTTCTTGTTTTTCTTCCGCTAACACCAAAATTAATATGATCATGTACAAAACACTACGCAGGCCGGTCCGAGCGTAGATAAAGGGCTGAAGAGGAATGATGAATCGAAATATCTGAATGGTATATAGTGATCGCGTGCAAGTGCTATCTACTGCGTCTAACCCTAAGTTACGTATCTAATCTTGACCTAGATAGTACGTCGTGTGTTTCTTGCGGATATGGCCCTTGCTACGGAATACTGAATATTAGCTCCCTAGACAAAGATAGTCATCAAGGGGGTCTAGTCTAGCTATAAAAGTGGCAGGTCTAGATAGATACTGAGTACATAGTAGTACTAATGGTTACTGCGTGCATGGATATGGTGTCACGCGTTATCCGTCCAATACAACTTACTATGTACCTAACTATCGTAACGTAGTGGAGGGTAGCATCGCCAGAACCTTGCAAACAGGTAATGATATTTCCGTCAATCCCACAACCAGACTTGTCTTTGGTACGAATCGTTCTGGCAAACTACTGTATGGAACGAAAATATCAATGTCGGTAGATGTTCTGGATCCACCATCGCTGCTACTCTGGGCAATGTAAACTAACGAAAAGGGATTGTGTTCGGTTAGGTAATGGTACAGAATGACAAGTACTTACAGTAGATAGTGCGGTCGGCTACCTACATAGTGGAACACGTGGTTCGGTTATACCCGAAGTTGGATATCCACCTCGCCCCATGTTAAATATACTATGTACATAGGTATGCGTAGGAAGGTGGAAGCCCCATATTATATATATGCTGGTCCTAGTCTAACCTTAGACTAGTCTGCAAGGGTGGCACGTATGTAAGTTACTCACCTATTGTTTTAAGTGGTCCATTTTACATGGGTATAATTAGGTGAAATCTGTTGGATTTGAGCCTCTCCTAACGAGCCTGAGGCTCGTGCGTGGGAGGCGCGTATTGATTACATAAGTGGTGTGGCTAGTATTGAGTGGTCTGTGCAGCGCACTAAAAGGAGCTTGTCAGATAATTCCCTCAGATTAGAGCTAGTCACCAATACAACAACAGAGCACATGCACCAAATCTGACAAAATCCGGGGAAGAAACGAAGTATCTTAAATACAGCAATTTTATGAGCCCACTTGCATACGCCTCGATTTTATCCTATATGCGCCATAACCTCACTTAATTTGATTATTTAAATACTACTGCATACTTACTTACTTACTTACTTACTATATAGCAATTACTTATTTCTACTGAATTATTTGCTATATTTATTTAATAAGTTGAAATAATAAGTAAAATAATAAATAAAGCAGTAAATAAAACAATAAATTAAATAGCAAATCAAATAATAAATTAAATAATAAATTAAATAATAAATTAAATAATAAATTAAATAATAAATAAAATAGTAAATAAAATAATAAATAAAATAGTAAGTTAATAATAAATTATAATAAAAAATAAAAATAAATTTTTAAATTGTAGCTTTATTTATATAACTAAAAATATAATTTAATATAACTTAGTATAATTTAATATAATTAAGTATATTTAAATAAATAAATTAAATAAATAAATAAATAAATAAATACAATTATTTAAAGCTATATAACTAAATAAATAATTAAATAAATAATTAAATAAATAACTAAATAAGTAGTTTAATAAATAGCTTAATAAGTTGAATTTTTACTTATAATGCTAGTACTTTTAGTATAATTGTTTTTCTGCTGAGAACTATACTAAAAGTAGGTGATGTGCACAGTACTAGTACAATTGTAGTTAAATTAGGTGGGGGCATGGTGCATGTAGGATGAAATCGAGGCGTATGCAGGTGGGCTCAATTTTATTGGCTTGCCCCTCTGGCCTAGTGCTTACACAAAGTTGCGGAGCCGAAAAGGTATTCAAAGGGATAGTCGGGCGTATGTATGTACGAAGCAGGGATTCTTTCCAATAGAAACATATTCCTCTTGGTTTACGCAGGGTTCTTACAGCTAGGCACTATCTATGCGTACGTGGGTACACGAGATAGCTCACCGCGTTTTATATAATTCATTTTGTACTCTTTTTCTTTTTCTTTTTTTAATAAAAAAAATTAAAATTTGCACATTAGGTTTTCTGTACCTTTAGAGCTCAGGCCAGAAACCCTCCGGCCACAATATGCTCACATCAATGATAGCCATGTAGCATATCTTCATTAAAACGGGCCATAATCCTAACTCTTTAGACACCGTTCCGTATAGTGTCAAATTCGGCACACTGGCGAGTATCGTTGAACAGGGGAAATCTAAATATGTGGCCCCATGTCTTCATACAGCATCCACTGCTACCTGTGACCCCTGACCTTGCGGTACGATGCATACGTCGGTGGAACACATTAGTTGTTGACTGGACATGTCTAAACAGTGGCCTATAATACTATGTTACTATTCATATTTTCGCCAATATAAGTTCATGGGAAATGCTTACCAGCATGAGACCATTAGCTCATCATCGTAAAATTCAGGCAAGATGCGCTGAGTCAACGACAAGCCATTCCTCCAGTAATATCGCACTCTTTTCCCCATTCTGCACATCCCCTCGTTGAAATTGGAGTGTCTGACAATTCGTTGTCGAGCTCTCTATATTGAGAGTGTCGCGTACCATATATACCGTTAATACTGTAGGGGTATTAACGGCGTCGTTCTTTCTCCGTCTCAGAGAGTCTCTTCAACCGTCAGGCTCGTAAGCAGTTCTATCTGATGTACCATCTCCATCATAGGCACTAGGTTTAGAGTGATACGCCACAGCGTGGTGTATAGGTGCAGATGGTTTATGACAAGAGTATTTTCGCCTTTGTGTGACATTAGGTACGCAACAACATAACTAAGAACTACCTCTAGCCTGAAGTACCTGCTGGTTGCCTAACTAGCCGGTCCTTGGAGGGATTGTGTCGAGCTGTGGAGTAGCTCGCCAAATGCACATCATGAAGACGCTATCTTCCTTCTCTTCCTAGCTTCCCACCTGCGTTACAGAGCTTCTAGGTAGCCTCTTGAGTCTTGCAGTAGGCCTCTGCGATCAAGTAGAAGTCTTCGCTACTTGTGCAAGATTCGACTAGGGGTTGGCTTGGAGGATATTGAGGGTATAATCTGGGTCGAGTTCCGTGTTCAATTGTTGTGAAAAATCGGTAGAAAATTCGGATTATAAGGTATTCATAATTCTCCAAATTCCATAGCTCGAGTATTGGAGTTAAATCTCGAGCCGGTCACCGTTTTGCCGGCAGACACGCGGCTCAACGCCCACCAGCCCAGGAATCGATAGAAGGCACCGTCGAACTGCTCGGCATCGATTAACTAATGTATTATTACATCGCCCGATCTCAGCCGTTGGGTAGGCATGTGAAGTCGAGCGTTAGTCGGCGATCGTAATGAGCGGCGTTTCGCGTTAGCGGGCGATCCGCGATATTGTGTCGGACTCCGTCTCTAGGCTGGAAAATCATAGTTCTGTTTCTAGAAGCCCGGAGAACTAATGGTGACACGCAGTGGTATTGGTTATCGAGATCTGGATGAGTATTTCGCATTGTTTATGATAATTCCTCGCGGTTGCGTTACTACGCAACTTCTGAGCACGCGACGCGACGCGCACAGGCCACAATGGCGTGCTTGATGCCGCTATCCCGCATCGATAATTATATATCACAATATATCATTGCCTGGAGATGATACAAGGCATCCCTTTTGATTTCGTTTTGACTAATACTAAACTTGTCGTTTCCCACCTTGTTAAGAATGATGGCGAATTCGAACGCCAGATCCTCACGCGAACATAGCCCCAGAGCACTTCTGAATGGCAGTTTCTACTGTCGGATGCTACTGAGGAATCTGACGTTTGGCACACTTGCATCATGGAAGTGCAGACTGGGTTGAGTTTGGTGAGGGAGATGACGATACTGTGTATCCCTTTGTTGATCTGTGAGGAAGACACAACTTGAACGTCCGTTGTAGGTAATCAACGTCCATAGGGGGGCGTGGTGGAGATGGACCCCTGACTCTGGCGGCCCAAAGTTTATTAATTAATATAACGTTGGAAGTTATTTTAGTTTTCAAAAAAAAGGTTTGGAAAAAAAGATCCCAGAGCCAGGAATCGAACCTGGGTCTCCTCCATCCCCGTAAGGATTAAGCCCCTCTATGAAGAGAAGCTTAACTGTCAGCTTGGTATGCTACCACTACACCACTCTGGACTTCTACTCGTACTGGGAATACCGCCTATTAAGAATTATTAACGCTTCTTGCTCTCTCGCCTGGTACTAAACACTACCTACACACTCTTTTTTCGAACCCCACTGTAGCCTGCCCAGGGGACAGGGCACATAGGAAGGACTTGTCGGTACCCAATGAGGGCAAGGAAGCGCAGGTAGGTAAAGAGCCTCACTAACGCATGAAATGAGGAGCCTGTAGGATCATATGATGCGATCACTGAGATCACCGAGGGTGACTAGGAATTATTAGCACTTCTCCTTAGGAACGGCTTCTTAGTTAGTTAAGGAGCTGTGGTAAACAGAGGCGCGCTTAAGCTATAGTACAATCGTCAGTCGTTAGACATGCCTTTCGAAATTTTATTATAGATATAGTTGGTTTGAACTTAGAGCGAGTAGGTCATTTTATCAATGTGTACAAAGTATATGGCGCCCTCTTGCAACTCCAATCATGTTAGGGGTATCGAGGAGCCGCTGGAGGCTGGATATGCTACCACTCGGGCCCTTAGCTAATGAGATCGTACCTGCTAGGTTAACCCCCCGGAGCCCTGAGCCTTAAAAAAATAAATTGTATAGCAATGCAATCTCTTCCAGAATGCCCGTCTATCACTCTAAGCTTCACTTCGAAAGGTCAAGCGACACCAGTCAGATCACTAACTTCGTCCCGTCTTTTTTTCGAAATGCGCCGTCGTCTTCAAGGGTCGGCGAGGGTTCTCTCATCCGAAACGTATCCTATTAAGGCGAGGGAATACTGTAAAATAGCAGTTCTTCGTCGGTGATTCCCATTAAGCTTTCATTCTATCACTTGCTGATTTCAAATAGCTGGCCAAAGACTTTTGAGTATCAGTGAGGAAGCAGCAGCTAGGTTTCCCTTTACTTAGCTCATCATGTACCATCTTCCAGCACAGTTCAACACAACTGGAAAGCTGCATCATAGGAAACCGTTAGGAACTCTGTAGTGCACTCTCTTTACTGTCTTGTGCGAACTGCACTTGAGTCACTGCCTTCTGTTTTACGTAGAAGAGTTACAGCTAACAGGTTGAGCAGTGGATTGCTATGGGGGATATGATCATGTATACCAAGCCGCTCAACCCAGGGAACATATATCATTACTTTCACTACATCCGGCAAGTCATCATGTTTAACAGAGTCATGACGTTCGCAGTTGAGATATTAAATTTAACTAAAATCATTACACCTTTTTTTATCTTGACCTAGGGCTGACATTTAATACCAAGACTTCTAAATGTTTCTAATATTATACCTTATTTACAGATAGGGAATTCTTCTTTTAATATTAAGTACGTGTTAGGTCCATATCAGACAAACGTCTCTCCTCCCGCGGCGCCGCAAACCCCGCCGATGATAAAGACTCTAGAGGCCAATAGCGACTGTATCGACCGCAAGCTGGAAGCTATCGGTCGGCAACACGAAGTCCTCGCCGGTCACACTCGTCGTGGTGGAGGCGTCGATCTGGACGTGGTTGAGCTTAAACAGGACCTTCGGATACGACTCCTGGTAAGACACGCTGGTCTCCAGGCGAAACGTCTTGTCAGACGCGCACTCGGTGTCCCGGTCGAGTCCGTACGGGACCCTCTCGCACTATTGTGTTCATGTAAGAATTTGCGCCGAGATTGTATTATTCCTGCATATTGTGCGTGGCAGGTGGGGAGAAAGGGGATCGGTCGGCTAAGGCCATAGCTTGCTTACAAGAACGTCGAGACCCCGAACGCCCGTCACGTAGTTGTCAGGCGCCGTCACCCGGTACGTTGCTACCTCCTGGCCATCTGGGCCTGACTCCGTGAACCCTGTCACGGTCCACGGCTGGTTGATGGTAGTGTTCAGCGGTGGGCTGGGTAGGCAAGAGGCGACGGCGAGGCGCGGCGACCCGATGGCGGCTATGAATGTTGAAGCGCGCATTCTGGAGAGAAGTCAGAGTTGTGTCGAGAGTTACAAGCCTGTCAACGATTATAGAGGTGGTAAGCGAAGGTCATTGTGGGAGCCATCATTCCTTCGAGCCCTCCCCTTATATATACGGGATGAAAATAATAATTACGGGTCTCCTACGATGTTCTAGATTCGAGCGCTTTGAAGAGGATGTCTCATTTGCCACGAATACGAGCGATGGAAAGGTAGGGGCCGGGGCATGATGTCTACTTGTATTATAGTTGGACTTAGACCAGGTCTAGGATGCGCATCGTATTCAGCTTTCGCCTAATAAGGAGTGTTCTTATTTCCCGGGGCCATACATGTATGGTGCTCAACAGCCTCCGGCCAGCACCGACATCACTCGTTCGTTTATAAATAAGTAAGGGTGATATGCAGGATTGAGGCGTAGATGGTAGAAGGACCTAATACGCCGTACCTGACGAGCCCCATCGTAACTCGTCTTGGCGAACAGCAACTGCGGAGACTGCTGACTATTCGTACTACCAGAAATGCCTTATTCTTATTTCACAAGGGGAGAAGCTCTGTATAGACCAGCAGGATCTACGCTGCTGACTTATATGGGCCAAGCTAAAGCTCGCGCTGTAGTTTTAATCCCCTTGAGTAGTACCGTGACAGCGGTGGAGCAATAGGTATTCCAAGTCAGCCAACCGTCCTTTTCGCAGTATCTAGGGTATTTTATTTTAGTTAAACTTTCAAGAGACCTTATTTAAATTGTATTAGTACTAATTGGATTTAGTTAAATAGGTATAAAATCTATCTACACTTATAATATTGGAAATCTTGTTTAGGTTTTGTAATGTGAAGGCTGTATAAAGGTCTCTGTCTCGTGGGGCAAATATAACATCAACAACTCTATTTTCGGATGTTAGAACTTCAAGTCCTGAACAATTCCATCCTAACAATTTGGAATTTGTATGTAATAATTCATAGTTCTAATATCAATGCTGAATTAGCTTTAAACATCATTGATGGCGTTGTGTCGTGGGATATGGCCCAGAGTGAAGATAGGTCACAGAAGCACAAGCAGTTAAGGTAGCAACTAGGTAGTAGTATGAGGTTGGGGCTCAATATCATTGATTCCTGAGTCCACCTTTAAGAATAGGGGAAAAATCTACTCCTTATATAATAGTAGTAATTGATACAGATACCCCTGAGTCTTACAGCGACCCAGCTGCGAATTTATCGCCTGACACGTTGCAACCTTTGACTTAATTATCTGTTTCGCGAAATATTCCGAAACTAAGCTCCCCTGCGATATACCTATCACGTCTTAAGGCCAATCAAGAACCTAATATGTCAACTGGGCTAATCTGATTTGGATGAGGAGGTCTGAGTGGGCGTTGTATTTCTTAGGTATCGTTTATCTAAGGTCCGTTCTGTCTTACCGACTCTCCGAATCTTATGATCATTTCCCCTCAGCCAAGCTCTGAGTCTGAAACTAGTTCGTCCGTCATCTCATCTCATCTTGACGCCCTCACATCCTGCCACACTTAATTCCACCATGTAATCAAAGAAATCCTCAGGACAGGCCCAGCCACGATCCCTCTGCTCAGTGAACAGTATTCACGCGTCCTCGTGTTGTCCGTCTCTCTCCAACTTTTCTTTTCTTTTTTTTTTTGGTAGACTGCCCAGCCACTTTACACGCCCGATGTTAAGTAGAGCTTTCAGACTCTTCAAGTTTCAAGTTGGTGGTCGGTCCTTTTTCCTCTTTTCTATTTGAGTTTTAGTTGATTCCTTTGTGTCGATACTCTCTTGAAACACTTACTGCTATCTCCAGATAGGTGTGTTTGACTTCTGGCCTCATGAGGTTGTCTAGGTAGAGAGGCTAGGCGCAGATCCTAAATGGTTGGCTAGTCCTTTGATTAATGATATGGGGAAACCTACTTGGGCTGGGAAGCTTCGGGAATATAGGGGATCGAGCAATTAAACGAATGAAAAGAAAGAAGAGAGATTCCAAACTCCGCCAAGTGAATGTACAGTGTAGTTCATTAAACCTTCAGGGTTTTCCGATGATATCCTTCATAAATATCTACAGCATGCTATAATCATTGAATCTTAGCAATCAGGCAAGGTGAAATATAGGGGGGATACTTACTTATGCATGCTGATTAATCCGGAAGCATTTTGGCATAGAAGACGCCGTTCTCGGTTACGTACCATCGGAAGTTTCCCATGCGATCCAGGGAATAGCGGTTACGAGAAGTCCACTGGCCGTCAAGTTCACGACACCAATACATACGACTCACGTCGTCATCGGCGGGCTTGATACCTTGAGGTTCGTTCATCTGATTATGCAAAGCATTGTATTGAGTCTCAGCGTCAAGTTCGATCTTAGTCTTTCCCATCTCGAAACCACCATTACCTCCGCCAACGAAATAAGCACCCGGAGGGGTGATGGGGGGAGTAGGTTGGGCAATACCGGCTGTCAAATGGGCGGGGCCACCAGTTCCTGGCGCATAACCCATGGGAGGCGCAAGGCCAGGTTGATAATTAACTGCGGGTGCTTGCATAGGGTGACCCTGCATGTATGGCTGCTGCTGGTATCCAGGGGCCATCATAGGAATTGGTGCAGTTGCCATGCCGGGCTGGGGCTGCAGTAAAAAGAGTTAGCATGGCATATCCTCATGAAAATGGATAGCGATCAATTGTGAAAGAAAAAGAATGTTGAAGAAAACGACCTGTTGTAAGTTAGTGATGACATAGGACGCCCTGCCCTAGTCCGACGCCTAGTCCGGATTAAAACTTGCATTCATAAAGACAGCAACGGGCCTTCCACGCACAACTTGTGGTGTGTGCACAGGTAAAAAACTCTGGGGTTGTACCTGTTGATAAGGGAAAGAAGCACCCGGCGTATAGTAGGACTGGCCACCAGCAGGCATACCATTCCCCATCATATACTGCAGGCCAGTCTGGTCAGATCGAGGAACGTAGGTATACTCGAAAGGACCATAGGTCGTATCGGGCACGGGCGGCTGGTAGTGCATCGCGTTCGGGTTGGGCATAATGCCCTTGGCCACGGTACTCATGGTGGGCTG